ATGTTCTTAGAAGCTTGTGCCATCAGCCACCAGATGGGGTAGTATTTTTGTTTTGATTTGAACAAAGTTGATTTTGTGTGCAATGATATTTGACAGTGTGCAATGAGTGTATCATTTTGTCATTTTCTTATGCATTTCAGTTTTGAGTAGAGTGAAAGAGATAGAACCAAAATATTCTAGTACATTTGGTGAAAATGCTAGTACAATCAAGTAGTAGTGTTGCCATGTGGTACACTGAAAAATTACAATAGCAGGTTCGTCATCAAAGTTTTCGAGCGTCTGTCAATTCGTTTGATACTGGGGAGCCACTCCAAAATATATATTGTTTAGAACACATTTGAATTTGCATAATTTATTACATTCCAGGAAAAATACTTGAACCAACATTGAACCATAACCGAAACATTGAAATACTTGAAAAATTTATCATAAAGTATACTAGTCAAAAATTCTTGACATACATCAACTTTGCGTAGTTCTACGTCATTCTGCGGTCATGTCTAGGACACAACCCTTTTTTTTAATTACTGGTAAATCAAGGATTAACTGAGAATTTGGGTTTCATCATTGAGTCGACACCCTGAATTAGTGTTTCCTACCCTGGTCATCCCGATAAACTATTCTTGAGAAATTAATCAAAAGTTGCGTTTCCTGATTTCCGGGAATTCTATTCGGATTAACAGGAAATAGCTATTTTCACAAAAAAAAAAGAAATCCATGTAAAAATTTCTGAAACAATTTAATTCACACCCAATGGGTATACATTCCCGGGAAATTTACCAAAATTTGGGAGTGGGGAGTATAGAGTACGAAGAAATCAATTAAAGTTGGAAGGAACTTTCACGGGAATATGGAATAACATTCCGGGATACGTCGGAAAAAAATCATGGCTGGTCGGAAAAGGTTTTTCAAGAAAACAGAAGGTAGGGTTAACTACCCCATTTCCGGCCTATTAAGCACAACCCACACTTAGTCTTTCTTAATCTAGCGCAGTTTAGCACTAAACGGAATGTTATAATTACTGATGGCTTCCAAATTTATTTACCATTCCGTACGTACCGTAAGATTTGATAAAGAGAATTGATATATTGTCAAAAGTCTAACAGCACTTCTTGTCGCCAAACTCGTCCTACGGATTCTAAACTCGGCCTAACGCATTGAAACGCCATTGAAACGCCAATGAATTCACTTCGGCCTATCGGATGAAGATAAAAAATGATTCGGTCGGAGCGCTTCTTTTGTTTTTGAGAATAATGGGTGCAAACCTTCATATCACGCGTTCTCATTGACTTCGTTTGGTAGTTTATTAACTTAAGTATCGTACCATACGCATAATTGACATGTTAATTCTGAAAGCTTGTATTTATTTGAAGTTTTCTGTTCTATAGGCCCAATATGGGCGATTAGGCCGAAGTAGTTCTCTACCCTAATTCAAGCAGAAAGTATATATTTTTTTGAGGGAGTTGGAAGAAACTTTCGGAAATAGTTTAAAAAAACTTCTGCGAAAAGTCTGGAGAAACTTCCAGAAACAGTCAGAAGATGCTTCCAAAATAAGCCAGAAATACTTATTGGGGGACTTGGAGGACTGTCCCAGAAGAATCCGTAAGAATCATCCAAGGGAAGTGGAAAGAGACTTTCAAGAAAAGTCAGTCGGGAAGTCGGAAGACAATTATAGGGAAACCCAGAAGAACCATAGAAAAAGCATAAAAGTTGGGATAAACCTTCGGACAAGCCTGGAGATACTATCAGAGCAGGTAAAGTCTGGAACGCGCAAAAATTGGTCAACTTCAAATTGGTGTATTTCGGTTAAAAATGCATAAAAAATAAACCTGAAATGCTGCATTTGGAAGTTGAGTTTATATGCAATGGTTGCTATGCTTAGTTTTCACCGTTTGCTCTCCAGCAAAAGATGTTGAAGAGAATCCGACGTTCTCACACGAAACTTATGCGAAGGCGGGTTGCAAGCAGCTTCCGGGACAGGAGTTTTATACCGCATCAGGAAGAGGGAAGGTGGCTGAAGTTTTCAAAACCATCAAACTATCGAAGTTCCCGAAAATTTATCTCGTCTGGCAGGCCATATGCACGTGTGGTCTAAAAGGCGGCATTTTCATTACTACGGGAACCATAAATCAAGAGATCTACGTCCAGGAGTTCCTGGAAAAGTGGCTGCTACCATTCCTAAAGCAACATATTAGACCTGTGCTGTTCTGGCCGGACTTGACGAGCTGCCACTATGGAAAAAAGGCAATCGAGTGGTACGATGCGAACAACGTGGTTGTGGTACCCAAAGACCACAACCCTCCCAACAGCCCAGAACTCCGCCCTATCGAACGGTATTGGGCCTTGGTAAAACGGAATCTCAGAAAAAAAAACTAATAAATCCATGGAAAAAGAGCAGCAGTTTAAATCTAACTGACGTTCGGCGGCGAATAAGGTCGATGAGACCACTGTGCAAAATTTAATGGAAGGGGTTAAGCGGAAGGCACGGCAGTTCGGAATTGGAAAACCAAAAGATTAAACGAATATTTTTTCCTTTAAATATATGAATTCAACTACCAGAAGAAATATAAGAAGATTATTGTGATATGAATTTTGACTGAAAGAAACGATATTTTTGTCGATCAATTTTTACGCGTTCCAGTCTTTAACTATTTCTGGATGAACTGAAAAAAAAAATCCTGTGGAAGCTGGAGAAAACGGAACCTAGGGGCAGTTAGAAGTTCTAGGAGGAGCCAGAAAAATCTTCTGGAAGGATGTCAGAAGACAGATACTGCTTGGCGATATTTCTGAGAATAGCTGGAAGAAGATTTAGGGAGAAATCTTCCAGAATAAAAGTGGTAGAAAACTTGAAGGGAAGTTTAAAGAAAATACCAAGAGTAAACCGGAAGAATTTGCCGGATGAAGTTAACAAACATTCGAATATAGATGACAAAAATTCCAGGGGAAACCGGAATATAATATAGGAGCTATTAAAAAGGACATTTTTGGAAGCAATTGAAAAAAAAAATCATACTTCAATGATTGTTGAAACTTCGGGAAAAATAGTCCAAGCGCCGTCGGAAAAAAATATTGGAAGCCGGAAGAGGATTCCAGGGAAGGCAAAGGTCTTCATGTGTCGATTATCAAATAGTTAATAAATCATTATGATACAGCTATCTCATGATAAAAAGTATTTTCCAATTCCCGCGAAGTCCCGAAAAAAGCCATTTCTTTTTGGCCACCAATAATAGAGTTTTTCAGAATGATGAAGTAAATTGAAAAAAAACGTTAGATTTTGGCACGGTTCTATTAAGGCAACATTAAATTTTCAAGCTGAATTTGAACAGTCAATGTAATTGAATAATCAAGTCTCTTAAAACACGGTCCCAAGTTGATTTTAGATTCACATTAGAACGAAAAATTTAGGCACAGATAGTAAATTTCAAAGCCTTGGTCTTTTAACAATTTTAAGACAATAGATTTGAAAGATTTAGGATATAGAAACTTCTGTAGCACATCAATCATAAAAAAAAAATCATTTTTCAAGACCTAGGCAAATTTTTTAGATCACAGTCTAAGACAAAAAAAACTCATTATTCTGGAACAAGGAATAGTTTCCGAGATGATGAAAATTTATAAAAGTTTACATGCGTGTAGGACTTATAAACTCGATGATGAAACAAATTGTAAGATAAGTAGGATAATTTTAGCAATTTTGAACCTTTTTTTTTTTTTTTTAAAGCCTTAAATGACTTAAAAATTCGAAATCTCTGTGACAAACTAATTTGAAAAATTGTGCTATCTGGAAAATTATTTGATATTTTGAAGGCCTGATATACAAAGTAATGTAAGTGCACAGTCCTAGAAACGTGTGAACGTTTTTGAAACATAGTGAAACATGTTTGATAATAGATATTTTTTTCTAAAATTTAAGTGTGAAGTACTAAAAAAATTAATTTAATGTTACACACGTAGTAAAGAACTCAAGATTCTCTGACATGATTTTTTCCTCGATGTTTGGTCATATACTAAAGCAACCGGGCTTCTTCAAAGTTCTGGTCTTGAGTTTGTAAATTTTCCTAGATCATTTTTCGACACCTAAGGCTTAGAAAACATTCAAGATTACGATGTAAAAAGGATATTGGGATCAGATTTTTTTGAATGTTTCGATCACGAAGTTGAAAAAGAAAATCAAAATATTAGTCATTCCGTCCACACTAATTGAATAGTTAACGTTCAAAGTTCCGTTGATGTCGCAACTTTAAGCTGTGATTTAATATGCTTACATTGGTCGTAAAAAAGTGACAATAGTGACAAAATTTTAAGAAATACTGATTTAAGTGACTATTTGGTTTAAAAGGTGGCTTTTAAATAACTGACTTGAGAAAAGTGACCTAGTCACTTAGTCTATACAACTTAGTCACTATTTTCTTGGGTACTAACCGCTTTGATCCCTGATTGAAGGGAAGATGGGTTCCGTTAAGAGGTTTGAATTAATTATTGAAAAATTAAATGTGTGAAATTAGTTAAAAGCATTTCCAACTTTATGATAGTTAGAAATTTAAGCCAAGTAAAAGCATAAGCCAGCTTTAAGTCAAATAAACCTTACTTTTGATAATTGCAACAAGATTGTAAATTGCAGCACATTTTACATACACAGAAAATAAATCCGAATTAGACTATAATGATATATGATGCTCCATTTAAGTGCATCATAGTAACATAAATTTACACTATTTTTGCGAACTGTGTAATCTTTATAAAAAGTACGAACTGAATGCTGCCTGAGTTTGCTGCGTCCCACATCGACCTATACGTTGGAAAAATTTAGCATTTCTTAACTTACGCACTCGTCAGTTCAAATCTGGCCATTTGGTTTGACTTACCCAGCATTAGTTCAAATATCAAGTATCATATAGTCAGATTTGACAGCATATTCCAAATATCTTTCCTGAACTAAACATCATCCAGCAACTTCTAATCACCATCCACCCGCTTCTTCTTCTTCTCCCATTTTGCAGGCGTATGTTCCCCACGGTCCGAGTGTCGTTCTCCGGCCCGCTCCGGCAGGCGACCCCAGCCGACCGGTACGTGGTCCTGTTGGACGTGGTCCCCGTAGATAACCGGCGCTACCGTTACGCATACCACCGATCCGCGTGGTTGGTCGCCGGCAAGGCTGATCCACCGCCACCTCCCCGGCTGTACGCCCACCCCGATACTCCGATCGGTGCGGATGCCCTCCGCAAACAGGTTATCTCCTTCGAGAAAGTCAAACTCACCAACAACGAGATGGACAAGAATGGCCAGGTAGGTTCGGTTTCGTTCGTTGCTGTGTTGAGCAGATGTGTAATTTGATACGATCTTATAAATCACAAACAGCGACGACGACGACGACGGCGATCACGGCCGGACCGCAGTCCGTTTCAGTTGTTGTCGTTTTGTTCGATTCGCGTCTGCGATCATGATAAATTTTGGATCATTAGCCCCCGCGCCGGGCAGAACATGCGCTTCGACGTTCGCCCCCAGTTCGGAACCGGCGCAAATGATTTACACGATTTTCTGTCTGTCAAATTATTTCAACCTGACTTAATTCTTGGGAGCGCACAGCTCGTGCCACTTGGAAACGGCTAATGATTTCGGCTGCCGTCGATGCAGGGAAACGTAACACCCACGGGAGTTGTATCAACATGTGTTTCTTTCGGGATTCTGAAATTCCCGGAATCCTAGATGGAACGGAGGAACAAAGCGATATACAGAACCAGAAACGAGAGCATTCCTCACCGTCAATTTGCCGGCTAAGTATTCGAGAGGCGCCCTCCAACTGGTTCGGGTTCCCGACGGGTCGCGACGCCAAACTTCATATCTGTCTTTTGTTTTGACAGATGACAAGTGCATCGTGACACGTTCCATTAATCTTTGGGCCCCTCGCGCCGTGTTCCATCACCCGCAGATGTGAGTGACTCATCGTAGTTGACGATGGATGGAATACGCAGGGCGGCGCGGGTGAACAGAAAGTTATGAAGTGCGATGATCGTTTCATGTTATGAAGGTCATAAAAACAAACAATATTTTAATGATGGTACCGTTCGTGTGCTTTTCCATCACCGCCTCCACCTCCTTCGTCACGGCCACCGAGAGAAATTGTTCGGACATCGATCCGAAAGCTGTAGGCCTCCACCGAAAAAAGGGGTTAATTTCCATAATTTCCCAATAATCGTAATTTTTTTTTTCATTGGTGGCGTTGGAGGCCACGTGCGGTCCTCAGGAAAATCGATAGCAAACGCGAACGCGTTCTAAAACATCCGAGTGGAATATAATTAGGCCTTCATAAAGACAATAATTTATACTTCATTTAAGGAATTCCGTTTGCCGGAGGTCTGCGGCGTAGCAAGGGTCACTTGTCCTGACCTTCGGTCACCGTTCGACGCCTCTGAGGAAGGAAGTCAGCCAGCCGCCAGAACAACAACGCCTAACGCCATTTTCGTGTTGTGTTTCCAGTTCTAGGTGCCAAGGTGGTCATAATTTTTCGGCTTTATCGAGCTTTTCTCCCATTTTTGACAGCTCTCACCAGGTTTCCGTTTTCGTTCGGACTAGAGCAGCTCGATTAGCATAAGGAAATAATCCTTGTTTTATACCGCTTTCGGCGCCTTGCTTTATGTTGTTTTCCTCCACTGATGGTCGGTTGTTCGTTCGAAAGGTGCGAGAACTAGTTATCTTAATGTCCATATTCGGCCATTTATATTAATGAGCTAAAGGCATCAGTTTTTGCTCTAGTTTCGTGCCGCCGTGAACCAATTCGTTTATTTTCACCCATTCCTTCCGGTATGGGTGCCATTTTCACGAGTTAACACGTTTGTTTTGTTTTGGACTGATTGCGAGGGGTGATGCGCGAAGGCTGTCAACTGTCAACATGGCGGCTAATTAGTGCACCTAGCGCAGAGTGCTCTTCTAATTTGCTGCCACTATCAGCGTAAACCGGTTTCCAATTAATTAACCGGTCCAGTTCCAGTGGCTGCACTGGAACAGTTATCAATCTTCACTTCCTGACGGCCACCTTACATCAGCACGAATGCGTCGATGGATGGATGGAAGCCATCATTATGGTGGATTGATGTGTCACAAAACGCTGTTGGCTGTCATGTCCGTAGAGTTGCGTGTAAGCTGTCAGAGTGATGCAATAAGAATGGAGACTGCCGTTTTTGGATTACTTCAAAACCGTTTAAAATGCTATCAATTGTACTTCTAACCGGCATCTTAATTTATGTGTGCTGAAATGCGTTAGCATTCTTCATGTGATGAAATGGGACGGGAACCCCATCAGAATCCCATCCATATAAATTACACTTCGATGAAACTGATATCGATTCATAAGTGGCTAGACCCAAACGACGCAGGAAGGAGAGATATAGAGAAACCAGATATCAATAATAGAGATATGAACGCAAACCGGAGGGGTGTGGTCGTACGATTTGCCACACACACACACCCAGCTAAGAGAGAGACACACGGACGAGATTAAAAACGAATCATAACCTCAAACGCACAAACAAATGGGAGGATTACGCTCGCTAATCTAAAACAATCTTTCTCCCTCGGGGAGATGTCATCCGTTTGTTTGTGTAAATTTATTTCCACCTCGTTGCGTTCCTGTTTTCTGTGCACTCCTCCTCGGTGTTTGTTTTTGCTACGTGTTTTCTTGTTTTTTTTTTCTCCCTCCGTTCTATCTTCAATCGAGCTCGGTCTTCTCTTGACGGGGGAGGGAAATGTTATTAGCATTGTTTGCACTTTTTGTGTCGTACAACACACCACCCTCACCCGCTTGGCTTGGTTGGGTTGTTTTGTTCTAGAGCAGCGGCGAGGGTCGAGACGAGGAATGAAAGAAAAACTTTGTACATAACCTCAATTGGTCCACAGGACCCCTCGAGCAATAGACAAAACGACCAAAACACACAGCCGCCACCGTGTCGAGTTGGTGTTGTTGTACATATTTATTTCGCCCCGAGGAATGCTCATCCCCGGCATCACCCGGCATCACCCGGCATCGTCGGTACCGTCATGGTGGAAAACAAAAAAAAAAATAAAATAATGGAAAGTGAAGAGGGTTTGCGGAAATACTTAGGGATGATCTCTTGTCGGTGCATACACACACACACACACACATGTAATCAGTGGTGTTGTTAGGGGGAGGATTGATCATTAGAGGTGTCGCCATCTGGATGGAATAATGCCTTTTAGTAGCTCAATCTGATTTTTTAAAAGTGCGCGGAGGAACGGAATTTCCCGATTCTCTTGTTCAGGGATGCCAGATTTGAAGACTTCAGGACTTCTTCAATTAGCTGGAGATTATTGAACACTTCCTGATCTACCTACCGTCTTGGGAGAATATCTGTGGGACGAAATTGAAATGTTTGAACAGTTGAAGATCTTCATCATAATACTTGATCCTTGATCCTTGATAAGTCCTGAAAAATATTATGAGGACTTTAATATAATTTCGATCAGTTGGAGATATTTTGAATACTTAATAATAGACCTGCCGTCTTAAGAGTCATCGTGGTAGAGTTTCCGAGCGCCGTCTTTTGAATTTTTGGACAGTCGAAGACAGTGGCGCAGCTAGGATTTCTGTCTGGGGAAGGGGGGACGTAATTAACAAAAGCTATTTTTTATTGAAGCAACAGTGACATCCTGGGAATCTATTTCCACTAATTTCACCAAATTCTATGGAAGCTGTTTCGATTTAGAGAGCAGTTTAAACAAAGATATGCAAATTATGCATTATTCCGGAAAAATCTAAATGTATCATCCCCGAGAAATTAACTCTGTGAAGAACTATCAATAATTTAAAAGAAATTTTGAATGGAGGCAGATGGAGTTTCCAGTCAGAAAAAAAAAAACTTCTAGAGAAAGTTAGAAGAAACTTCCTGAGAAAGCTGACAGACTCCCGACATCCAAGATGGATAAATTTCCAGGTTAAGTCGGAGGAAACTGTCAGCAAAAGTTTGGAGAATCTTCCAGAAGAAGTCGGCAGATATTTCCCTGGCACACCAGCAGCATCTCTGGGGGGGAACTCGGAAAGAGCTTCAAGATAAATCGTTAGAATTGACCTATGTGAGTCAAAAGAAACTTCCAGATCGGAAAGATGGACTTCCTATGGATGTCTGAAGAAATCAGAAGGAAATCAGAAGAAACTTCCGGTACTTAGAAGAAACTCCTGAAGAAAATCAGAAGAAATCGGTGAAATTTGGAAAACAGTCAACTTTTGCCCGTTGGGCTTAACCCATAGTCCACCTAATGAAAGGCATTCGTTAGTTTTTTTTAACTAGTTCGTTTATTTACTAGGCTCAGTCGTGTGTGACACTTTGCGGAGCCAAAATCAGTAACGTTTGATTTACATTTTAAATAGCAGTATTTCTAGGTTAGTATTGGGAACCAATTACTCGTGGCGGGCTCGAGGTTAATAGGTAACAATTTCAATTGGAAGGATCTAGGTAGGAAACTGGTTTCTGAAGCCTCCTTCAGATACTACTCTCGGACGGTTGACCAAATCCTGGCTGGGCAGGGGCAAGTAGCACAGGAACAGGAGGATAATAAGACTGGGACACAATGGCGGGAAATTGTTTGGAAAGGAGGGGATAGTCACATCAAACTCTAACATCAGACAAACAAAGGAATTCGTAGATCGCTTGCATGTAGGGAAGATCACGTGTTCCCAATACATCTCTTACTTCACGGAAGGGTTGTCTACATCGGGCCACTAGAGTATCCAATAGTTGTGCTCTGGAGGCGTCATTACCCGGGCAATACCAAACTGCGTGATTGATGTCATCATAACCGGTTCTGCACCTACATATATTGCTGTCAACGAGGTTTATTCTATAGAGATGTGCGTCTAGCGAGTAGTGGTTGGACATAAATCTTGACATCACTCGAATGAATCCCCGACTTACATCCAGACCTTTGAACCAGGCTTTCGTTAGTTGCGATGAGCTGTCATGCTGAGTATTGGTTGAGGAATACACCGATTGTTTATTATAGTCAAAATCATTTAGCAACTTTGCAAATTGTTCATCCATGAGCCCCTCGAAATAGATTCAGCACTGTCAGAAATGACGTTTGACTTCGATTTAGGTGGGCTACAGCCCAACTAACGGGAGCCCAACTAAAACGTAGCCCACTTAAAGATAGTCCAACGAGCGAAATTCGTAAAAATGTAACATCTGGAACAATTTGACTTCCAGAGAAGTCGGACGAATCTTTTGTGGGGAATTCAATATGTCTTCCAGGGTAAATCAAAATACTAAAATAAA